TACAAGTAAGTTCTCAATATTTTTGGAATTCATCTTTAATAGTGTAGAGATAGTAATAGCACCACATTCATTGTGGTGCTTTGGTATTATTAAGGATGTCTAAATTTATATTTACACTTTTGATAACTGAGTCACATAATTGATTTGTACTGAAATTATTGTCAGTAGAAATATCTAAATCATATTCACAGGTTTTGGTTCTAAGTCTGTCCCCACACTACCGTATATTTAATACATTCATACTTTGGGATCCAGCTATGGAATTTCTACTTCATTATATTTGAGATGTCACTCAAGTTTTTCAAGAATACTGGCTCTGCTAAGGGACAATTTCTTCATGAAGGACTTTGCTGTTCATGGTATTGATAAAAGCCAGTTTCAGGCCAGGTTTGGAGTTGGAGCTCTACAGCTATCTACTGGAAACCTTCCTTGAGTAAGGACTTTCGACATTTTTAAACATGCTTAGGTAGTTGCTTACTACAACACCACCCCAAAATTGTAGCAACACCCAAAAATTGTACTTAAAAGACTCAACACCCAAAAATTGTAGTAGCAATACTCAAAAATTGTACTTAAACTTCTCCATGTAGGCTATAATGAAAACATGAGGGCTACGATGATGATGATGATGTAGAGAAAACAATATAATACAATATACATTTTTTCTATTTCCAGTCTTGCATGTCTGGAATAGAAAGAAATGGCATTTTTCTAGAATGACGTATTTGTGAATGTAATGCAAACCCAGGCAATCCCACTGTTTTCTCCTATAGTGGTCTGCTCATCTCCTTAATAAGTCATCTTATACCTTTTCCACTTTCCACATTTAGTTCAATAATTTCTAATTTATAGATATCATATTCATTTAAGTTTTGAAAGTTAGGAAAATATTTGCTTAACTCTAGTCTTTCGGCACTACTTTATTCTCATCAAATCCCCAGTTTACCAACAGTTGAATTTTTTTTTTTTTTTTAAAGTCTGGCATGTGCTTTATATTTTCTGTTTTAATACTTAAAGCTAGAATTCATAATCTATTATATTTTCACTTATTTTGGAACTCAGTGTCCTCATTTCATCATTTGTAGCACAACAATTATCTTTTTTTACAGAAATAAAATATATATGTAATAGAAATTGAGGAGTTTTACCATTTGCTTTGTCAATTATTCATACTACCACATGGGAGCCAAAAAAGCTCATTGGTTCTTTGATATTATATATGCATTGAAGAAAAATCTAAAAAGTGAACACATGGATCTAATTATTAATATGAGTAAGGAATATGCTACTTTTTAGTATTAATTGCACATATGATTATCTTTGAAACCTTCTTGATAGATGTCTTTCATTTTTCTGCGTTAATATTTTACTAGTAGTCTGCAATTCTTTTTTTTTTTTTTTTTTTTTGAGGTGGAGTCTCTCTCTGTTGCCCAGGCTGGAGTGCAGTGGTGCAATCTCAGCTCATTGCAATCTCCACCTCCTGGGTTCACGCCATTCTCCTGCCTCAGCCTCCTGAGTAGCTGGGACTACAGGTGCCCGCCACCATGCCCGGCTAATTTTTTTTTTTTTTTTTTTTTTTTTTTTTTTTTTTTTTTTTTTTTTTTAGTAGAGACAGGGCTTCACTGTGTTAGCCAGGATGGTCTCTATATCTCCTGACCTCATGATCCGCCTGCCTCGGCCTCCCAAAGTGCTGGGATTATAGGCGTGAGCCACCGCGCCCAGCCTTCTGTGCAATTCTTAAACTGAAATGAGATGACAGAATGAGTAAAGGTTAACTTCATTAGGTCATCTTTCATACTATAGAGATCACTTTTTTATCAATTTGTTTTCTCTTTTGTTCTTTTAACAAAAATATATGAACTGTAGTTCTTGCTAACCAAATACATAAAATAAACAGTTGTAGAGAAATTTCCTGTTCCTTTATAATTTACTAGCTCTTTTTCTTTATATAAAAATCAGATCACATATTTGGATATTCTTGTAAACAAAAATGGTAACTACATAGAGGAGGTAGATACGTTAGTTACAAGATGATCATTTCACATGGTGTATGTATAGCAAAATATCAAGTTGTATACCTTAAATATATAATAATTTTTGTGCCAATGATATCTCAATAAAACTGTTAATGAGCCAATGCACCATGTTTGTGCAGTTGACTGTTCTAAAAACTGAATTATAACAAGAGGTATCTCTAAATTTCTTTTACATTGCTCCCTTATTCAGGTTTGGAAACATCACATAGCTTGCTAAATTTCCAGGGTAAAATTGAGCATGAGATGACATCTAAAGAGACAATTTCCTGAGTCCCTCTCTCAGAAAACGATCACAATTTAGCATGACAATTTTATCTTTCCAGGTTCTATGGTTTGACCAGCATCAATCGTGTGTTGGATGTTTCTCTGTCACCAGCTAAAATGATTCTAATAACTCTCCCAAGGTAATCAAAGTGGGAATTCAGTATCAGAAATGTCCATGCTTTCACTTTCAGAGATTAGTTCTGTAATAAGTTCTGGTGACTGATGCATTGCCCACTTTTTTGAAGTAATCTTTGACATAAAGAGAAAACAAACACCTGCCCACCACCTGACTTTCCCTAACCAGTAAGTTCCACATTGGTTCACTTGTCGTCTCCTCCTCCTCCTCCTCCTCTTCCTCCTCCTCCTCCTCCTCCTCCCCCTCCCCCTCCCCCTCCTCCTCCTCCTCCTCCTCCTCTTCCATTTTAAGGTGAAAATACAAGAGATGCACTAAGTGGCTGACAGGTCTACTTTTCAATGGCTAGGGAAAATTGGCACAGTTTCAGAATGTCAAACTCCAGAAGCCATTTAAACCCATGATGTATGCATCATTGGGATTGTGGAGAATCTAGAGCCCTTATTCCAAGAGTGTGGTTTCATAGATACAAATCCTTCCTGGATGAATGAATTCTTTTTTCTAGAAATGGATTGTACTGGTTGGCAGTGTTGACAATTCTCTCTGCATGTCGTTGCACTCAGGAGCAAGTGCCTGTTGACTTCCATTATGACTGTCCACTGGATGCACTTATTACTGTCTTATCTAGGGAAAGCCACCAAGGAAGACCAGCGAAAATAGGTTTTGTTTTCAAGTATGTCCCTAGGATGCTCATTGCTTGTGTCTCAGCCACTGCTTCAGCAGCAAGCTGACAAACAAACATTTTATTTCATTCAACTAGAGGCCATCAAATAAACAGAGTTAGGGTTTTCTAGAGAATGTTGTTACATGAACTTTAACAATTAAACTACAGGACCTCTTACAGACTTACAGATTCTTTTTCTATCCCTTTTATTTTTCATGGCTATTTCTTTCTTTGGGCACTCAGGGCTTCATCAACATAGAAAGATTAGAAATGTATTCTCTCATATCTCTTTCAATAAACTGAAATAAGTTAAGAATTTGTGTCTGGACACTACACAAGGAGAATCCCCCCATTTAAAACAGTAGCTGCATAAGAAAGAATATATAATGCACAATATAATACTGGCGTATTGATGCTACTGTTTCCATTCCATTTTTTTTCTAAAAGTTTAAATTTTGGAAATTTCCAAATTCTAATTGACTTCTAATGTCTTCCTTAAGAGCAACAGAACACTGAAATGTTCAATTCCTTCCCAATTAGAAATAACCCAATTCTTTTTCTACCTCATTGCTCCTGTTAGTTTGTTTAATCTTTTCGAAAGCTAAATAAAATTAAATCCTTCCACATTTCACATCACTCAAGCAAAATAGTCAAATATGACTTTAGCTGATTCAAACATTCACTCTCAGACCCTTTAAACTTCCAAGAAATACAACTTACCTTATCTTTTCACCCTCTTTGATCTTTCTCAGGGAAGAAGAAAAGAGGGGGTAATTAATTAGAAGTTGTATAACCTTACCAAAAGTTTATCATAAGTTTGAACAAGTACACAGATGTTTAAATATTCACAGAGACCTGCTAAAGTGAGGATTGCCTTCCAGGTTTTGGAGTGGTTTCCTGAGGCCCCGAGAAGGGTAAAAGCTTAAACAGGTTCAGGTGTAAAGATACGTCCCACTCGTGATTTGAATCCATGTATTCTGGCCTTTAGAGCTTGTGTACCCTATAACTCTACCTCTCTTAAGCTTAAGTCTTTGTTCCTTTAAACCTCTGAACCTGGGCATTTGTAGTTTTATCAACCAAGCAGAAAAAGTAATATCGTTCTCTTAGTGTTTGCAATAACGAGGGTCTTGTACAATTCTCAATATATCTGCCAAGGGACCCTTAGAATAGCCATTCAATTTACATAAACTCCTACACTTGTTTACTTTAAATAAGGATGCTTGATGTTCTTAATGGGTGAATGTGGGTGACTTCGTGCAGGGAGAAAGTACTAAAGTTGTTTCAGCTGTCCAAATCAATTTTGAATGCAGCCCATCAGACCTCAAATCCCTGTTATCAAAAGCTATGTACATTGCAAATCGATTTAATTTATTCTGGAGTAATAAGAGGTGAGAAGTTTGTGTGCGTGTGTTAGGTTTCCTGGCACAAGCAAAGGGAGTTGGAAAAGGATCGCAGCTCCTATTCGTCCTCACAAATATAAATGCTGACCTCCAAGGGGAAGCTCTGTCTGATATAAACCCTCCATACCTTGAGTACTTTGGGTGAAGGCGTTAAAGGACATCACTCAAGCGAAATCTCATGGCTACCACCGGACTATGGATCACTGATGAATGAGCCAGCAGTTGAATGTTTAGCAGGCTGTGACGACTTTGCACGGGAATATGAAAATTTATTACCAGCTTGCCACATCAGCGCCTGCCCTGCCTGATTTCCTGGTTCCCTCCCGGTGGCTACTCCCACTCCATCTGACAGTCAAACCCCTCTCGCTCCCCAGTTTCCCCTCCCCCGCAGAGAATTGATGGTCTAAACTGTCACGGAGTCCTGGCCGTCATTTTTCAAGAGATCTGGTACTTAAGATGATGCCTTTGGATCAGGGATTTTACTTAGGAGTAGTAGTATGAGCTGAATTGTTTTCCACATGACCTTGCTGAGGGGGCTAAAGGGTGTCCGTTTTGCGTGCTGTGGAATTTGTGCGGCCCCAAAAGTGTGCACGATGGGGGGTTGGGGGCAGAAGGAGGCAGAAGGGAAAGGAGCCGCGGAGAGGAGAGCCAGGGAGAAGAGGAAGGAGGAGAGACCTGGAGAGCGCAGCATCAGGCAGACAGGCGCCGCCAGCCAATCAGAGGCGCGCTCGGGAGCTGCAGAGACCCAGCCTCGGAGCCCAGGGCTCGAGGTGCGCGGAGCCTGAGTCTGGGCTTTCCGAGGACCGCGAGCAGCTGTGCCCAGAGCTCTGGGAAAGTCCCCTCTTTGCTTCTTTAAATTAAGTTCCTTTCCACCAGTTAGGGCAAGTCAGCCAAGGTAAGGCTTCAATAAATGACACTTTACTCTGTAGTGACATGAATATTTTTGTGTACAGCGGGGCTGCTTTACCCAGTTCTGAGTCAAAGCAATATTGGGTGAAATCTTCCTCTCCTACGGGTTTCACAGGATCGAGGGCTGAGGGGAAAGTTGTAGCTAATGCCGGCTGCCTTGTCGCTGGTATACATTTGGATTTTCTTATGCAGGAATGCTGCCATAGAGCCTATCGAATGCGAGTCTCAGAATCCAGCTGCGTGTCTGTTTATGTTTATCTGTGGCTGTGCTGTTGTCTTCCCTGAAGAAGTTGGAAGGATACTCTCTGCAAGGCACATTGCAATAGTGATGGCACGAGTATAAGCTGTCATTTTTGTGTATCTGTAAAAGTGAAGGGACGCATGGTCAGAATAGAAACAGAGGCACTGAAATTGAATTTTTGATAGTGCTTTTTAAAAAATTATTGCCTTTCCAGTATCCTCTAAAATTACGTGATTTCTGAGCATCGAAACTGCAGCAGGACAAGCCTCATTTATATTCTTTCATTCTTTTTTTTTTTTCTTCCCACGAATTCCAGCCTTAAATGCTTAAGATGAAACTTTTGCTTCTTTTAGAGGGCACTTATAAATGATGCATGAAAAGAAATTAGGTAGGTTCCTGTGATCAGCAACACACTTTATTTATGTTTGTTAACTCTCATTCATTTCCCTTTCTTAACTTCTTGTTTGAGTATGGAAATAACTATTATTTTGTCTTGATTTTTATGTCCTCAAAACAAGATAAAATTATGCCTTATGCGTGTGTGTGTGTGTGTGTGTGTGTGTGTGTGTTGTGTACAGATGTGGCTCTAGGCAAACCTCTCATGTAACAGGTGAAAAAATAGAATTTTATTAGCTAGGGCTATTAAAATGTTTTTATTTCAATGTCTTATTGCATTTAATGTTGTAGTCAAGAATAAATGTTCCTTGCTTTTTCCCTGTTGGAAGTCAAGAAAAATAAAATAAAAATCTTAGCTAAAAGTATTATGGTTTTCGGTTTGCTCAGGTGATGGCATCACTGCTTTGAGCCGAGAGACAGATCAGAGGAAGATTTTGTTATGCAGCCAAAAAAACTAACTACAGGCTCTGACTGTGTTTTCAAACCTTTATTTTTCACTCTGGGATCACCCACAGATTTTTCAAAGCAGGGGGCTTTGCGCCTGCAATAATTGTTCTTTTATTTTAGTGTATTTGTCTTACCAGAGTAAATGCTTAATTCTAAATCAAGAGTTTGAGGTCCAGCCTAGATCTTACATATACCTTGTTGGGATGTGGGAGGAAGAAGGTAGGATGTGATACTCGTAGATAATTAGTTCCATTGTGTAACACTCTGGTGCTATCACCAATCATGATTGCAGTTGTCCTCAAGCCTCCTGTTATTTATTTAATTCTGGATATCTTAATAATAAATTAACCTGGGATAGGTCAACCGATATACTTCCTCCATAAGACATTCACTTAGTGCACCTTGGTGGGTATTTTATGAACCATACTTCTGATGCTTTTTCTCGGAGATAGCTAACTTAAGAAACCAAACAAACAAACAAAAAGGAACTGATACCAATGGTCAAGATTGATTACCTATCTGAAAACAATGGGAGGTAGAAAATGAGCATTGGCTGTTATACATGCAACAGAAATGCCCAGCTAAAGATAACCCAATAGCAAAGGAGAATATAATAGTGGAAGGACAGTGAGTGGCAGGAAACTCTAGCTGTAACTGTATCCAGTGCAGCTGATTATAATTAGCTATAGCAGTCACAAACATGAACAATAGCAACCAGTGCTAGAATGAAGTTCATACATTGTGCAATTTGGAAATTATGATTCCTCTCAATGACTGATTTCAAATGGATATAGTGGACTTGTGAGAATATATGAGTCATTTATTCCAACTTTATACATTATTTAGATGAAAGCTGCTATAAATATAAAGTGCTTTTGTCTCATTGGCTGATATAAATAGCATTATTAGGCTTTGCATTGATTTTTGCCATCTAATGAATACAAACCACATGTGTGCAAGTTTTGGGACCCCAACAGTCCTTTATTTAACTTATTAGACAGAAGTATACCTTAAGTATCTGCAACCTGACTTAATTGTCTTTTGGACTCTAAACATACATGGAACACTTCAACAGAGCTAGGATAAAATATATTGAACTTATTGACCAGGAAAAACTTACTTCTTTTGAATCCATATATCTGATACAGTGAAGTCTGGTGAAGAATGAGAGAGATTGAGACATTAAAGACAGCGCACATATATGGTGTTCTTTTTCTTTTCTTTTCTTTCTTTCTTTTTTTTTTTTAAATAAGTAGAGAACTTTAAGCCGTAGTGTGCTTAATTGTATGCCTTCATTATACTTTTCCATTATACATATCTGTAGTACGACATTCTAGATTAGGCCTTAACCTTGGTGCTGTTGATATTGTGAGCTCTGTCATTCTCCTGGGGGACTTTTCTGTGTATTGTAGGCTCCTTAGTAGCATACCTATTCTCTACCCACTAGATCCCAGTAGTAGCACCTCCAACCTGTGTCAATAAAAAGATCTCTCTATACATTGTTCAACACTGTTAACTATCCCCTGGGGAGAGTGCAAAATTGCATTGAGAACCACTGCTTAGAGCAATTTTGAGCAGTAGTTCTCAATGCAATTTTGAGAACCACTCAGTGGGAACCACTGCTCTAAGCCAAATCAAAGGATGTATCTAGAAAAAGGTTCATGCGTATGCTGTTTGAGTAGGCAACTGCCCAGTCCAGTTTGGGTGCTCTACAGATAAATCCCCTCCTTTCGCTTTGATAATGAATGTGTTTCAACTGGTGGGTGTTTTCCTAGATCCCTAACACAGTACTGTGAAAGATCTTGCCAGTAAACTGAGGGACGAGGGCTATATTATCATATGCTAACATTTTTGGGACAAGAGGAAATTAAAACAGAGAGATAATATAAATGTTGAGGTTAAAGACAAATTTCACTTTAATTTTTTCAGATGATCTTTTAATATAAATAATAAATAAAAGATACTGATTCTTCTCTATAATTGCTTGTATTATATTTTGGGAGTTTGTGTATGTGTGGGTTGTAGGGAGGGAGCATTCACTCTAGTTTTTCTATGTGCTTGGAGTAGTTTCTAGTGTTTAAAGCCTCCAGAAGTAAAATGAAAACAGTTTGATTTAAAAGGTACAGTTGTAGACAGGTGCTCATGTGTAGCACAATGGAAAAGAACTGAGCTTAATGATTTGAAGACATGGCAGAGGGTGGATACTGACATGGATTGACGCGTTGTGCGTGTCTGATCTGTAGTCCATTTTCTTTATCCCTAAAAGGTGATGATAATAGGTGTAAAAACCCAATATACAAAGTTTTATACTGGCTTACAATTTGTAAAGGTCTACACTAATGTTGGCAAATTATCATAGATTCAATGTCTTTGATGATTTGTCTGATTAAAATTGATTAAGCATGCTAAGTCTTTCAGTTATTCTAATATGGTTAAAAATCATCTACAAGAAAGGTTAGTGTTCTCTGTTATATTATTTTCATGGATGAAAGTGAACATCTAAATTTCTAATATTTTGAAATCTTAAATTTGAAATATGTAATTTAAGATTATGAATACACCTCAACTTTTATTTCGATCCTTCCTCATATTATCCACATTTACAATTTGTTGTAAAAATGTAGACATATAAAATATAGAATGTGACTTGAGATTTATTCTTAAACAGTAACCGTTATTAATGCTTGGTGTATATTTTAAAAATATTTTTTCAGTGAATAGATTAATATGGATATATATATATGTACAACTAAAATTACATATATTTTTAGAAAGATATAGTGATATAGAGAGGCATACAGTCACATAAACACATGTGCACAAATATATATTTAAATAAAAGAAATACAATTTCATAATATTATATGTAACTAATTTTGTAGGATGTTTGTCTTCCATGTGAATAGTAGAGAGGATACATGACTTTTTTATGAGTCCAATATGCCGTTAGGTATATGTCTGATGCTTAGTTCAATGTTAAAGACATCCATTTGTTAACAGGTCACTCATTAGGTTAAGGTACTTTGAATTGGTAGGTGTCCCTGCCATATTTATTATTATGCATTTTGATTATTGCATATGATTGCATAAATATATTATCTATTTAAATAATCCCTTATTACAATCTTTTTAAATGACAAAGAAAAGGCCAGCACAAGTTAAATAAGTAAGAACCTCTATCACTGCTGGTAGTATTTTGACTTCTAAGTGTGGTACATATTCCAGGAAGCTATTTCTGGGAAAATTAACAGAGAGGAAATGTAGGAGCAGGTCTAAGAGGAGCATTTGCCCTAGTGCACCCTGACATGCTCGGATGTTGCTTCTGTGGATACTAGAAAGTTCTGATATACAAATTTCTACATTGTTGAGCCACATAAATTTAGAAATTTCTTGGTAGGTCTGAGAACAAAATGAACAAAGTTTGATCCCTAAAAATATTGAGTGAAATATTTGCTTTAATCAGCGTCCTTCAATGCCAGGACTATGTCTAATTCAAGCTTTTACTCTAAGCACATAGAATATGATAGATGAATTGTTGGTAAAATAAATTGAAGATATGCAGATGCCTCCACTGAAAAGGAATTCAACTATCATTTCTATTTCATTTTATGTTTACATAATCATAAAGATTCTCAAATAGGTATTTATTGCCATTATTTTGAGGCCTTTAGGGTTAATACAGATGACTTACGTATGACTTATATGTAACTATGCACAATTAGATATTACTGATAATGTCATATGATCCAATTATTTTCAGTCCACCTGATATTAAAAGTATTTTAAATAAAAGTATCTAGGTTAGATCCACAGTTACCAATGTGATATAAATAGGTTGGATGCCATTTTAATCCATCAAATTATATATATACTTTTTTTTTTTTTTTTTTTTTTGAGACAGAATCTCAATCTGTCTCCCAGGCTGGAGTGCAGTGTCACGATCTTGGCTCACTGCAGGCTCCACCTCCCAGGTTCAAGCGATTCTTCTGCCTCAGCTTCCCGAGTAGCTAGGACTACAGGCGCACACCACCACGCCTGGCTAATTTTTTGTATTATTAGTAGAGACGGGGTTTCTCCGTGTTAGCCAGGATGGTCTTGATTTCCTGACCTCGTGATCCGCATGCCTTGGCCTTCCAGAGTGCTGGAATTACAGGCGTGAGCCACAGCGCCTGGCCTCAAATTATAATATTTTAAAGAATTTCTGAAACCAATGTTGACACAGTTATGATCAAACTTTTACTTATACTTACTCCTGCCTGGTGGAAGTGAAAATCAATATATCGATTTTAAAAAGCAATTTGAAACTCACTGTGAGAGATAGGAAAGGATAGACTCCCTTATACACAACTTGTGAGAATAAATTAGGAAATAATTTAAAATATCACAAAAATGAAGAAACTCCTTAATAAGGTAAAATTAATTTAATAATTTGAATAAAGCAATGATAAATGTATGGTAATTAAATATAAATTATTAAGCTTAATACTAAATTGTATGTATGCTATAATTTTTTTTAAATTTCAGAGAAATTATTGTGAGAGAGAAATATGAGTTTTTCAGATTTTTCTGTGTTGTTTATATTTATTTTTAAATGTCTCATTAGTAGTTTTTACTAATGAGATATAATTTGAATGAGCCATGATAGTGTACATGAAAATATATTTTGGTTATAGTTAATTTTGCTGTTATGGAGTACCCACTTTTTGAGTCATTTGTTCTATTTAGCTGAGCAATAGATGGGAAAGCATTGTATGATTGAGGTTATAAAATAAACCAGTTCCCAAAGACCAATCAGTAGAGTTTCTATTTTGGTAACTAAAATTCTACTTGCAGAAATTTTTTAAGGCAAAAATAAAATTCAATTACATATTAAATTATATTTTACCTGTCATATAGTAAATTAAAATTTTGTATTCATTCATGGAGGTTGCAATCTATTTGAGAAGAAAGCTGGTAAACCAGGGCATAATTAATATTTTATAGTATTTGTAGAAAATTGTTAAAGGGAAAAAATGAAAAAGCGATGCAGAAAAAAGATTGTCAAGGGATAGATGGTGGTTTGATATTTTATCTATTTGGCTAGGAAGCCCTTTCTAAGAAGAATACTTTGAATAAAGCCTGGGAGGAAGTATGTATGTGAACCATGTTGATATCTCAGGAAAAATATTCCAGGGAGTGTGAAAAGCAAGTGCAAGAGTCCTAGGGAAGGAATACCCCTGGCTATTTGACACACAACAAGAACAGCAGAGCTCAGTGAAGTAATTGAAATGGAGTGTTATGGTCTGAATGTGTCCCTCAAAATCCATGTCTTGGAAGGTTAACCTCCAATGCAACAGTATTGGGAAGTGGCATCTTTTGAAAGGTGCTTAGGTCATGAGGATGTGAATTACAGCCCTTATTAAGAGAGCATTTGGGAGTGGGTTCACTTGCTCTTGCCACAACATGAAGACGCAGCAAGAAAGCCCCCATCAGATACCAGTGCCTTCAGTCCTGGACTTCTTAGCCTCCGTAACTGAACTGTGAGGAAATAAATGCCTGCTCTTTGTAAATTATTCCTTCTGTGGTGTTTTGTTATAGCAGCAGAAAATGGACTAACAAATAGATTATAGGAGGTGATAATGTTAAGAAATAATAGAAACCAGATCATGTGTAGATCCTGGATTTGTGTAAGAACTTTGGATTTTTCCTACAAGAGTGTGGGTGGTATTTGATCATTCTGAGCAGAGAGGTGACATTATCTGATCGATATTTCAACAAGAAACTCTTGCCACTGTGTTGCAGATAGACTGAAGAGGAGCAAGAACAGAAACAGGGCCAGTTACAGATCCGTCCCAAGAATTCCGAGGAGAGATGATGCTGTCTGCAGCAGAGTGACAGCAGTGGAGATTGAGAGAAAAGGTTTGATTCTGTATTTATCATGAAAATAAAGTTGGCAGGATGTGTTACTATTTAAGATATAAGTCTGATGGGATAAAGTGATGGGAAACGGTACACTGTGATATTTGCATCCTAAACAATAAGAAGGATGCATTTGATATTCCCTAAGAAACAAAATACTTGAGGAGAATCAAGTTGGACAGGAGAAGGAGAGACGCAGTAGAGACAAAGACCTGAGTTTTGCACATTTATAGACTGAGATGTCCAAGTGGGGATAAAATGGAGTCAGTGGAATACGCAACTGTGAAGTTGCAGGGAGAGCTTTGTGGTGCAGGAACAAAATAAAAATTCATGTGCAATATTGATTGCACTTAAAGTGAAGATAATGAATATGAGAGAAAACGTTAAGAACATAAGGGACCGGAAGTGGAGCAACAAACACCTGTAGGTTGAAAAGATGGGGAGAAACTAGCAACTAAGGAGTAGCTGTAGTGGGAGGAGGATGCTCTGGTGAGTGACTGTCTTGAAGCTTGGGAAGATGGATTTCAAGGAAGACTCTGTTTTAAAATACATTTAAATTATGGAAATGGAAACTCACAAATACGTATGAACACATATTCAACATATATTTAGTGTAATTTTTATTTTAGGTATAAAGAGTTTATTTCCTTAATTAAAAAATGTTCATCTTAAAAATTTTTACAGTTGCTTACTTTTTCTGATGTATGTATTTATGGAAATCATTCTATATTCAAGGTGATTCCATTTGTTTGTGTCATCTATGATTTCTTACAGCAGTGTTTTGTAGTTTTCCTTGTAGAGGTCTTTCACCTCCTTGGTTAAGTATATTCCTCAGTCTTGTTTTGTTTTGTTTTGGTTTTTGCTATTGTAAAAGGGATTGAGTTCCTCATTTGATTCTCTGCTTGGTCGCTGTTGGTGTGTAGAAGAACTACTGATTTGTGCACATTAATATTGTATCTGGAACTTTGCTGAATTATTTTATCAGTTCTAGGAGGTTTCTGGAGTAGTCTTTAGGGTTTTCTAGGTAAACAATCATAACATCAGCAAACAGTGACAGTTTGACCTCTTCTTTACCAATTTCAATGTACTTTATTTCTTTCTCTTGTCTGATTGCTCTAGCTGGGACTTCCAGTACTATGTTGAAGCAGAGTGGTGAGAGTGGGCATCCTTGTCTTATTCCAGTTCTCAGAGGGAATGCTTTCAACTTTTCCCCATTCAGTATTATGTCAGCTGTGGGTTTGTCGTAGATGGCTTTTATTACATCAATGTGAGTCTGCTATTAGAAACAAATGGAACATTCTTGATGCCATAAAAACAAATTTTGCCAGAAATTACTGGTGTAATCATCTATGTATTTTATTAGTCAATATATTTTATCTTCTATCATATTTATTAAGTTTACCTAAATTGGATGTTATAATTATTGCTTTTTCAGATCTGACTAGTTTGCAGCATAAAACATATCTCTTTTAGTACTAATTCTTTTAAAATGTTCTTTGCTGACAACCCCAATTTACCCTACAAATGATTATAGTAAAAGAAGAGTAGACAAGATAGGAAGTTTCCCCAGCCAGTATATCAATTGAAAGACCGTATGTTTTTACTTTGCCATTTCCTAGTGATTTATGCCCAGACTTTTAAGTGCAAGGTAAATCATTAGGAACCAAGATATAAATCTATAGTTTCAGCAGAAGGTCTGAGGTGATTATTAAGTTGTGAAAGTGATATTTTAGCAAATATACAAAATTATTGTATTACAAGATTATTTCAGTATTATTCATTCAAATTAAAGTACTCCTTCATACAACTATCACAAGACACATACATATACACATTCTCTCTCTCTCTCTCTCTCTCTCCCTCCCCCCATCTCTCTCCATCCCCACCAACAATCACTTTATAGCTTTATAATCACACTGTTTATTAAACGTGAGAGACAATAATCAGCTTGATTGGCTAGTTCTTTATCAACCAAGCTTCACTCAGAATATTTATATTCTAAGATAAATTAAGTGATGTAGCTTCTGAAACTCACTCTATGAGCGAAGTTACAACAATACTTCAAACATATTAATGTATAAGTGCTGCATGTGACTACCTTGAATGCTAGCACGGTAGGCAGAATAATGGTGCCCAAGATGTTCACATACTAATTGCTGTAACTTGTGATTATATTACATGGCAGTAGAGGGTTATGGTTGCAGATAGAATTAAGGTCGTTTATCAGAGAACCTAAATTAGGGAAATGATCCTGGATAAACTTGGTGGGTCCGATGTAATCCCAAGGGTCTTTAAAAGTGAAAGAGGGAGAAAGAGAGTTGGACACAGCGATCCCATCTGGGAAGGACTCAATCTGATTTTGCTGGTTTGGAGTATGAAGGAAGAGGGCCAAGTGCTTTGGTCAGCATCCAGAAACTGGAAAAGACAAAGGAAATGGATTTTCCCCTAGTGCCTCTAGAACGGAATACAGCCACGCTAACACTTTGATTTTATCTCAGTTGAGACTTATGTCAGACTTTTTACCAACAGAGCTGCAAGATAATAACTTAGTGTTTTTTTAAACCACTAAATTTGTGGTGCTTTTTGGCAGCAGCAATGGGAAACTAATAAAACTAGCATATTGAGGTTTATGAAGTTCCTGCATATATATAAACAGCACATCATGTGAATTTTCCAAGGAGAGACATATAGAATGTTATTTAATCTGTAATAATTATACTGTCAATCTGGAATTGTTATATTACTCAAAAGTAAATTGATGAAACAGTCATATGAAACCTAAAGGTTAGTTTCCTGAAGGATGTTAAGTTTTCTCAAAAAGAAGGTAAATTTTATTCCTAATGAAAGAAAATGATTCATCCTACCTAATGAATACATTCTTGTCTCCAGTAATGATATATTATTACTGTTTATGTGAGTTTATTGAACTTCCAGTTCCTGTGTCCAAATGTAATTAAAATAGTATTGAATTATTTTGTACAGTCTTAGATAAATTATTCAGTTATTCATCTATACAAACAATAGACAAAGTAATATATAGAATATGTTGCAAAATAAACATATTACCCTCTCCTTTTTACTTTTGTAGTGCAGGAAATAGTTACTCAACTTTTCACAGTGTCATTAAAAAAAGTGAATTTAATCATAATAGAATATTTTATAGCTCAATAAAAAAAGGTAACCTGGTATGATTAACAAAGATTGGCTTAGAATGAGAATATAGAAGTCTGTGTATGTTTACTGATCAAACTAATTTTTAACTAAGTGACTAGGATGTTGCTTAACCTTTTCAAAACTGCTAAATAGGGAAAAACTTATCCTCCCAGCTTGAATGGCATTATCTCGTGTTTAAATCATAACACCTATGAAAATATTAAGAGAAAAATGTCAAACAAATTTCAAGGGTATAAAAAAATAAAAGAATGGTTGTTAAGGCAAATTATCTAATTAAATTTGGCTGGTATCAATTTTATTTCTTTATTTAAAATGTCTCATGGATATTGTTTGCTTATACCCGGTTATAAAAGCCCTCTTTAGCAGAGGATTCTAAAAGCAGTTATATGAATTGCCTGCCTGCACATGAAACAATCCTAGACATGATGGAGTGTGCAAATGGACTGACATTTACCAGTCTTCTTTAATCTGTCTGATTGGTGATCTTGGAAATACTGGCGCAAATTGTCCATCTGAGTTTCCGTATTCTTTATCAGAGTGCCTCATTCAAATAATTGAATTCTAGGTAATAAAAAACGTGCAAATGAGCCAAAGCTTTGGGGAATAACTTCAGCTAAGTGCAAAGCCTGTGAAAGCACCAGTTTGCCGAGATTACGTCAGCATCTGATCTGCTTCCAAAGAACGTGGCTGGGTACTCAGAAGCAGAACCAACTAGCAATTATGTGTTCATTTCTGACACACAAGGAACTGCCATTTTATTTTTCTCTTACTTGTTTCACTTTTCTGAATTATTGTTTTTGTTCTTTTAATTTCTTAAGTGACAGGTGTTTATTGTCGCAAGTCAAATTATATTTCATTTCCCTTTCTTCAATCCCCACTGAGCTGAAATGTCTACAAACTGTATATCCACAAATTAATACCTTGTTTATCCATTTACACCTTTTTCCATAAACCTGAAAAAAACATATATATGTGAACATGCAGACATTAATTTTATTCAGCTTTTTAAAAATCAAGTGTTATTTAACCCATACTATTCTACTTAATCCTTACTTAATATTAGATCTTTAAAATCTCTACAAAACAGTGTATCAATCTGATGCGTTCTTGTCTTTATTTTTGCCTCATAACTCATTTTCATCACTGTTTCTTTCTTTATATCCTGTCATGTTGCCATAAGTTAGTCTTATCCTTTGAAATTTGTAGGTATTCTTTTGTTTTCCTATTTTCAACTCTGTATCATTATATTTCTAACAGTCTTATTTCTTTCCTCTGTCACTCTGGATTCTACCAATCTTTCTAATCCTCCCAATCCCCTCCAGTCCTCATTAATCCTCTTTTTTCAAAGACCATCTACTGTATACTACTAAAGAATATGCCTGAGTAATAGAGTCATCTGATCTTCTGAAACCCCTTAGTAAGACTAAGTCCAAATTCCTTCCCTGAAGTACTGCAGCTGACAATTTTCAATTGGCGATTTTTCGAGGCCGTTGAAAGGTTATAACTATTAGTTGACTACTGTGTCCACTCTATACTGAAACAACAAATGTGTGTGTATGTGCGTGTGTGTGTGTGTGTGTGTGTGTGTAGATAAAATGTATTCTTCCCCTCAATCTCTTTTTTTTCTGTAATTATGTAGATTGCCAGAATCGGTGAGCTTTTTGCATTGTCTGTGATATCTAAAGACCTTTTTTTTTTTTTCCTGGATCTTTTTAATGTATTATGTAAAGTAAAATTTAAAATAGTTTTTTTTTTTCAGAGTTTTTAAACAGAATTTATGGAAGTTTAATTAAGAATTCTTTAATTTGAGCCATTTAACACTCACT